AAAAAAAAAAAAAAAAAAAAAAAGCAAGTATAAAGTGGCATTTATAATTTAGTTGAGCAAACACAACAACATACTTGGCATATTTCTTTGGGCCCATTGCTGTTCACTGCTAACTGGGGAAACCCAAACTCAGTCTCTCTAAATAATTCACTTTCTGGAGGGGTTCAATTCAATCCATTCTTTCCTTAGCACATCCTTTTTGCCCCTCCTGGTTCTTGATCCTGTGTGGGAAACAAGAGAAGACTGACAAATGATAATGTAGTTGTAGAAAATACACAAAACATACCAGCTTCTCAGGAGGCTAAGGCCGGTGAATCACAAGTTTAAGTCCATCCTGGGCAATTTAGCAAGATCCTGTCTCTAAAATAAATAAATGAATAGATGTATAGATAAATAAATTTAGCAAAGTATGTCCAGGTAAGAGCACTTACCTAGCATGCATGAGGCTCTGAGTTTAGTCCTTAGTACTGCCAAAGAAGAAGAAAGAAAAGAGAAAACAGAATGCACAAAACCTTATCCACAAGAAATAAAGGTTATTTGGCCAGTTGGGTACTGGTGAGGAGAAGTGGTGATTATAGAATGTGAAGCTTAATGACAGCCACATTTTTATACAGTAGGTAAGTTAGTTCATCTCAGTTTCCTGTTAGTAAAGGGCATTTACCAAATGATTGAAAGGTGACATTCTAATTCCATGATAGTAGGAAGATTTACCTATGAGAATATCTGAAATAAAATTAATTCACATGTATTAGTAGAGGGATAAATTTGGAGGAACTTCCTTCTTTTCAATTATCTGTCAACAAACTACATTGGAGGAGCTGAAAAAGTGTGTGTGTGTGTGTGTGTGTGTGTGTGTGTGTGTGTACTGGGGAAGGGTACTGGAGTTTGCTATACTTTTTGATAATAGACTGTTAGAGTGGGAGAACGGTCAACAATGTAGAACTCACCATTTCAAGAAAGGAAAGGTCATTTGGGCTTGGGAAGAGTTTACCTAAAGGATGTAGAGTTTGAGCTGATTGAGCAGGATTGTGTGTGAAGTAGCCTAACTGAAGGCTAATTGTGGCTGTTTTAAGAATTGAGAAATGGGCTGGGGATTTAGCTCAGTGGCACTGCGCCTGCCTGGCAAACAAGGTCCTGAGTTCAATCCCTAGTACAAAAAAAAAGAATTGAGATATAACGATAGGTAGAGAGGATAAGATTCCACTGTGGGGGTCTTGAAGATTAAGTAAAACTTTGGTTAAACCTGTTAGCGCAAATTCCTATAAAGACTGAAGATCTAGAAAGAGACCGTTAATGTTTGTGTTGATAGGCAATTTTTAAGGATTTGGGTCTAGTTTTATTGTCTAGACCCTAGACCCTAAAGATATTTATCTAGAGTTTATGATTAGATTGAACCAAACCCTGAAAGTTACCTTCCAAGGGGAATAGACTAATAAACTCTTCATCTTTTTCTCACCTGTAGCTTTTCTGGAACTGTAAGTCCAGTTCAAGAGTATATTGAAGTAAAAGTAAGAAGGAGCTATCAAATTGGAAGTTACAAGGCTTGTATTACTTGTGTCAGCACAGGCTGTGGGAAAAATCACACAAACACAAAAATTACATTTAAAATAAAAATAGAAAGACCTAGCTTAGAGTAGGGAGTATGTAGCTGTACTCTCAGCTATTTGAGAAGCCAAGGCAGAAGGATCACTTGAACCCAGGAGTTTAAGGCCAGCCTGAGCAACATAACAAGACCCTATTTTCAAGAAGGAGACGAGAAAGAAAGAAAAGAAAAAGGAGCGGGGAGGGGGAGAGGGGGAAGATGAGGAGAAAGAAAACGGGGAGGAAGGGAGGAGGAAGAGCAAGGAAGGAAGAGCAAAAAGGAAGAGGAGGAGGAAGACAAAAGAGGAGGAATGGGAGGAGGAGGAAGGAAGAGCTCAGAAGAGAAAGAAGAGGGCAGAGGAGGAGCAAGGAAGAAAGAAAAGAAAAAGGGAAAAGAATCTGGTGTACAATACCTTTAAAGACAAGAGGAACTTTCAGGGAAGAAAAGGAAATTTCTCGATATGGAAACTTTTCATTTTGAAAATATCTTACTTACTCTGTTCTGGATTCTGGAGGAGACAAGGAATTTGTGATGAATAGGCAATCTAGAATGCTGAGGTGTTCCATGTTGAAGTAGAATGAAAAGGAAAAAGACACACTTAAAATCTCCTTTGTGCTCAGATTTTTTAAACCTATGACTTCCTTATACAAACACACACTCACATGCGCACATGCACAACACAGATGCATATTCATCTTAGCAACATCTCTCAATCAGTCTACTTCATTTTCATCCCATTCCTCACAAGTAGGGTACAAGCATCGTGAACATTTCTCTCTTAGTTCCCATGCTTAAAACACTCTGTATAATAATTATTTGTATCTTCTTTTTTGTGTGTGTTTTTACTCAGCTCTTTCTTCTAAATACAAACCTTTCTAGCTCAATACCAAACCCAACACAACAAGCATTGTTTTTCATGAATGTAATTATATAGTATCTTGTACTTTTATTTATACATTTCTTACATGCAGGGTCTTATCTGCTTCCTATGTGGTCAGCTCCCTAAAAATGGAAATGTGAGTTTTAATATTTGCACCCCATGGAGTTTTGTATGTTAACATTCAAAATCACTATTCATTTATTTTAGTATATTTACTGAACATTAGTCATGTGTTAGACACTATCCTAAGTGATGGGACCCAAGCATAATTCCTTGGTCAATGTATCCTTGACCTTAATCTGGGGTGTTGTGGTAAATTTTTTAAAAAGGAGCATTAAAATGGGTAAATAACACCCACATTTACTCTGTAGGAGTATTTTTATTGATGAATTATTTATTGTAACTTTATGATTTTGTTATATAATGTATACTTAACAGGAAAAGAAAATATCAATAAAATAAAATATTAACATCTTAATATGTAATGAGTGTTTAGAATAAATGTCAACATTTACAACATCAACTGTTACTTGCTTACAAAATCTAAAAAACAATAGAAATAAATTCTTATGTGAAATACAATGAAAATACAAATAGAACTCTACCACAGAAAAAATCTTTACTTCGATTTTCATACCTAAGGCACTTTTCACACATTAAAACAGCATGTTCCATACACAAATATTGCATACACTGATTACACATATGTTTTGTTATCCTGGTTTTTTTGGCAGGACATATTTGACATCTTTCTGGTCTTCCCGGTTTGTTTTAGGAGGTCCTTGTGATGTTTCACCAGGCCAGAGGTGAAAAAAAATCAGTCTGTTCCAGAATTCTTTTGTGGAGTTCTTTGGCCAGATACATACTGTTCTTCCTCTGTTGTAACTGATCAGTTATTAATTCCAGCCTCAATCTTTTAAGAAAATTTATCCATGATATTTTGTGCTTCTTATTTTCTTTGTAAATTGTGAAATTATTTATGCCTGACATGTTTAGGATTAAGTAAAACACAACCATTGTCCAACACTTTGTGCTTTGAGTGACATTATAGTTCCTGCATAACTTGTCAACAACATCTATTCCACCTTTCATTTTGTTGTAAAATGTAACTATTTTGTGGCTTCATTTGTGTGAGGATTCACTATCGATAATTTTTGTAGGGGGATGGGTTTGATACAAGGTCTTGCTATGTAGTTCACACTAGCCAGAAACTCACTGTATAGCACGGACTGATCTTGAACTCACAGGATCCTCCAGGCTCAACCTTCCAAGTGCTGGGATTACGGGCATGCACCACCATGCCCAGATTCACTATTAATCTTGTCATCACGGTGTAATGTTGACAGTATCAATACTACTTTGGTTTTCTTCACTATATACTAGACCAATGATAAGTCCTTCTGAAATCCAAAGATTGTACTATATATTTCTCTATTGTGAATTTGCAACATTTTTTTTTGAATCTCCACTTTGAATAGTTCCTGTGCTGGTCATCTGGTGTTCTTTTAGCAAATGTAACATCAATGGGTAACTAGTGAACCAGTTAACAAGTGTGACGTTTTGGTTACTTTTTGAAATAGGTGCAACAAATCTGTTCACAGTATCATATGGTTTATTACTGCATGAATTAAGACCTAGTGGCTGAATTCCAGTATACATTTCTAAGTTTAAGGTATAAAATGTCTTTGCATCTACCAGATGGTATGAGTGTGTGTGTGTGTGTGTGTGCACACGAATATATATATATATATATATTTTTTTTTTTTCTGGTATCAGGGATTGAACTCAGGATCTTGTAAGGCAGGCACAGTGCCACTGAGTTAAATCACTGGTCCTAAGGCTATATATTTATATACCATATTTGGAAGGTTTATTCAGCACGTGTTGCAGAAAGCTACAACCGCCATCAAATGATGAAAATTGTCACTTGTCATGTATTTGGATGATATATAAATTGCTTGACAGTTTGAAACAAAGCTTTAAAAAATGAGTGATTAACAGCTGAAGTTATTTTTCTTTTTTCTTTCCTAGTGGGTCTTTTTGTCATTAAAATGTGGGCAATTTTGAAGGAAACCAAATATTTGAGTGTCACTGTTCTAAAAATCTCAACATCACATCTGTCACTTCTTCATAAATACTTTAGATTCTGATGATTAAAATGATAAAGTCCTGCTATGCAAGTGTTTAGTTCAGATAGTGAGGTGTCACAATAAATATATTTTTGAGTATTATCATTGGTACATATAGAATGTTTTACTTGTATTTCATTATAAGTGTGTTTTGCAACATCTTGTAGCATATAGTCCATTACAATTTCCAACATTGAATCACAGTATTGGCATTCTGTCCAATAGATTTCAGCCCTGGAAAGAACCTAATAACGTTTTCCAAACTAGTTCTAATGGATCATTCAGGTACACATGACCATTTTGTTGCATTTTTGACTAGCCAGATATTTATTTACATTACTTTTTCTCATCTGATCAAGAGCTCATCTGAATCAAGGTCTTCATTCTATACTTCTCTATCTGTCATATCTTGCTGTTTCTCACTGTCACAACTTTTTGGATTTGACATGATCCAAATCATCCTTGGTAGCTGAGTCACTTGACAAGTCACTTTAACCTCCTCCTAAAGTTGTAAAAGCAGATTTTCATGCAACATTGTACAGAATCTGGCTAGTTCTACAAGAAAAATCAAAAGAAAACATTTAATAAAACAAATTATAAATGTATAAAAATGTAACAGTGCATAAAGTGGGTTAAAATTCACCTGTTGATATGCTGACACACGTGCATACACCTTGCTGTTTATCTGCCAAGTGGGTGAACACAAAGATTGCTTCCTGTATTCCCCCATTGCTGCTACTGAGATGCGCAGCTGGCTGCTGTTACACTAAAGTAAATATTTTCACTAGAAAGCATAGTATGGGTGTCTGTTATCCAATTTGAGGAACTGGGGGAAGCTCAAAGTTTATTCAGGAAAAGTGACAGTGGATTGCAAAACAGTGTGCTGACTATGTTAAAGACAAGTTCAGGATGTTATAGGAGAAGTGAAGAAGAGCACTTAATCCATACTGAGAAGAGCCAAGGAGCAACTTGCAACTAACACTTTAACTGAGCCTGGAAAGCTGAGTTAAGTAGGTGAGGAGAAGGAAAATGAACATTTGAGAGAGAGGAATGAGCACAAGCAAAAACATGAAAATACAACAAAGCATGGCTTGTTTAGCAGAAGTGAAATACTTTTACTATGTCTAGAACATGAAATTTAAGGGAAAGGTAGCAAGAGGTGTGACTAGAGAAAGGATCCAAATACTAAAATAAAATCCCTTTGAGAAAGTTTGTAGATTATTCTTCGTAATGAAGATCTATCATGTGATTTTAAGGACATACATTGACTATATTTTTTAAGAACCATGAAAATAATTGCAATATGAACTACAGACTGGAAAGACAAGAAAAAGGGATTTAAGAAAGAGAATGGAAGGGAAAGAATGAAAACAGCTTTTGTAAGTGGAGAGGGGAAGAAGAGTTAAAGGGAGGGGAGATGAATTGGAAAAAAGGAAAAGATAAGACATATTGTGTACAGATTCCCTATGGTGAATGTGATCATAATAAATAGCAAATATATAGTGATAAAAATAATAAAAAATTACAGGTGTGAAAGATGCAATGACACACAAGCTTAAATACTGCATGATTTATCTTATGTGAGAAATCCAAAGTATAAATAAATTTAAAAAAACAGGTAATAGGAAACAGCAAGGTAGATCTTTTGCAAATGGAAAGGGGTCCTAGAGATGGAGGGAAGGAAAAAGAAGGGAAGGGGAAGTAAAGAATTCAGATATGTGTATGTACCAACTCCCCATAATGAATTTAATCACTGTGTTTTACAAACATGTACTAATAAAAATTAAAACAATTTTTAAGAAATCATGCGAGGAGGCAAAGACAAAGCTATAGCAGTCTCAGGGACGCTCTTGATAAATGAAAAGGTCTGTAGTCACAGATGTGTGCCATTCATCCCTGAGTCCTGGCTCTAGATGACATATTCTCTGCCAGGAATTTGAAACTCTGATAAAGACAGAAGGACAAAAGATGATTGTGTCTGCTTAGAGCTATTCCAGATGTAACCATCCTTCCCTGAAGGATGGTTACTCATATTTCTCTTCAATTCTCTGAGCTTCCTCAGTACTATTTCAAATAAATCTTTCCTTTTTGCCTAAATTAATTAGAGCTTGTTTCTGTGGTTTGCAACTGAATACCTAAGTTGATGCTGTATAGGCTATAAAGCAAGGTAGTGGTAGTGAAGAGAAAGAAAAGGTGTCAAGAAGGCAAAATTAATAGGACTTGGTAACCAGTTGGATCCATGGGATAATGAATATATCACACTTCAGATTAATTAGTGATTAAATAAATAGGCAATTTACCAACTTAGAGATGAAGGAGATGGAGCAAGTTTGGGAAATAAATGATAAATTTTGATTTTTGTCAGCTGAATGTGAGGGACAGGTGGGGGCATTGAGTAGTGAGGTGTTAAAAAGATGAGTCTGGAGCTCAGGAGGGACAGGTTTGGTGCTGTAGACTGAGTGCTTATGTCTCCCTCAAATTCATATGTTTAAGCTTAATCCCCAATATGAAGGTATTAAGAGGTAGACCTTTGGGAGGTGATCAATGCCCTTCTAAAAGAGAATGTCTTGGTCCCTTCTGCCATATGAAGCCAAAGTGAAAGATAAAAATCTCTGAGCCAGGCAGTAGGGTCTCACTAGATCTGTAATCTGACAGCACCTTCTTCTTGGACCTCTAGCTTTCAAAACTATGGAAATAAATTTCTGTTGTTTATAAACCACTCAATTTATGGCACTTGGTTATAGCAACCTTGCCTAAGACATTTGGGATAGACTTCCACATCTGGGAACCAGCCCCAAGTGTATGTGCTAGTTGACACTACTGGGATAGATGAGATCAAAGAGAGAAAGTTATGGGCTGAAGAGAGACAAAGGCATAGAATAAAGCCCTGGACTATGCAGACATGGGAGGAAGAGTATTCTAAGGAGATCATGTAAAGCACACTGAAGAGGATTGGCCAGAGGTTGGAGAAGAACCAGAAGTAGCTATGTAAATCATAGGTGGGAGGGGATAATGTTAGAAAAGGAAGCAAAATCTCCAGCTTATAGCAGCATATGGACTGCTACTTCTAAAAATATAGAAAAGAATTAAAACTCACAAAAATGACCCAAAGCTTAAGAAA